TACTTCATAGTCTCAGGTCTTAAATTTGGGTCTTTGATCCATCTTGAGTTGACTTTTGTATATTGTGAGAGCAATGCATACATGTACATCCAGTTTTTCCCACACTATCTATTGAAGAAATTATCCTTAATCCAATCTATGGTCTGGGCACTTTTGTCAAAAATCAGTAGACTGTATGTACATGGAGTAATTTCTGGACTCTATTCTGCTCCATTGATCCATGTCTCAGTTTTATGTCAGTATTAAAATGCATGAACACATTGTATCAAAAAGATACCTGCCCCATGTTTGCAGCAGTATTGTTCACAGTAGCCAAAATATGGAATCAGCCAAGATGTCCACCATCAGATGAATGGATAAATAAAAAATGATATGTTTATACAAATATATATATACATATATACATGATGGAATATTACCAAGCTATAAAGAGAATGAAATTCTGTTGTTTGCATCAAAATGAATGCAACTGAAGGACATCATGTGGAGTAAAATAAGCCAGACACACCACATGCTCTTCCTTATATGTGGGAGCTAAAATTAAAAAAGGAAAAAAAAAAGAAAAAGTAACTGTGTATATCAGTATTGCTGCAGATATAGTTTTGTCAAACTTTGTTTTATGTCTTTATCAAACTAATGGTCAAGAATGATATACTACTCTAGTTTTTTTCTTATGGTTATTGTGAAATTTACCATATATAAGTAAAACGATCATCTTTTCATTTGATTATTATTAATAATAATATTGCCTATATTCCTTCTAAACTAGAGTCTGTTTACTTGTTGAAGTTTTGTTTAGTAAAACATTAAGACTTTGACTATAATGTAAATTAAAAATCTCCTATCTCAAAACTAAAAAAAAGAAGGAAGGAAGAAGGTGGGTAAGGGTGAAGAGGGAGGGAAGGAGTGAGGGAATATCATTATATTCTTAGAATTGTATCTATGAACTACATTAAATTTGTTCTCTTCTTAATAATATCACATTGACAAAAAATAGAACATTAACCACGCCCCCCCCACACACAATAAATTTTGGGTAAGCCAAGACAGGGAGTAAACAATGGCAATAATGAGCTCTCTTATAACTCTTCTAGATGTCTGAAATATTTCAAAATAATATTTTAAATACTTAAAATCAGTACTTAGATATAGTTTTGGGATGGATTTTGTTCTCATCAAAACCTCGTGGTATCATAGTAGCTGTTGATTTCCCCTCTTCCCAACAACTAGATTTTGAAGAAATACCTTGATATTACAAAATAAGAGACTGTGGCAGTTTCAGGCATTTGGGGAGTGAACCAGTGAATGGGTGCATTCTGTCTCACTCCTTCAAATAAGTAAATGAATAACTTTTATAAAATACCAGGGACAGGCATTAAGATGCTACTGAGGATTCCTGCCTCCCATATTGGAGTGTCTGGGTTCAAGTCCTGGCTCTACACTCCATTCTAGCTCCCTGCTAATGTGCACCATAGGAGGCAGCATGTGGTGGATAAAGTGCTAGGGTCCCTGCCACTCATGTGGGAAACCTGGATTGAGTTCCTTGCTCCTAGCTTTGGGTTGGTCTAGCCCTGGCTGTTGCAGGAATTTAGGGAGTGAACGAGTGAATGGAAGATCTCTATATCTATCTAATTTCTCTATGCCTTTCAAATAAACATCAATTCAAAGAATAAGAATAGCACCATGTTTAAAGCTCCCAAGGTTTTCAAAAGGAAACATAATATTTTGGATTTAAGCACCATCAACCAGATGTTAATAAATCTGGGTAGTAACCAAGCAGATACAGTTCAGAGGAAAAGTAGCATTTCTGTGCCTGGATTATTTCACTTCACATAATGTGCCCTGGTTACTCCATATTGATGCAAATAGCAAGATTTCCTTCATTTGTTGGGTGGAAAAGTATTCCACTGTGCACTTTTGCCACATTGTCTTTATCCATTTATCCAGTGATGGATACTTAAGTTGATTCTATCTCTTGACTATTGCAAATAGTGATGCAATAAACATGAGAGTGCAGGTATCTCTTCAACAGACTGATTGCATTTCCTTTGGGTATATATACCTACCCAGTAGTGCAATTGCTGGATCAGATGGTAATTTTATTTTTAATTTTTGAGGAATTTCTGTACTATTTTCCATAATGGCATGGTCTCATCCATATGTGAAAGCTAGAAAAGCTGATCTCATAGATGTAGAGAATATAATGGTGGTTACCAGGAGTTGTGGCAAGTTGGAGGTTTGGAGAGGTGCTGGTTGAACAAAATTTCAGTTGTAAAGAAGGAACTAGTGCAACAGTTCCACTGTACAACATGGTGACTTTAACAATTAACAGCAATATATTATATCCTTTTAAAATTTATTTATTTATTTGAAAAGCAGAGGAGAAAGAGGGGGAGAGACAGATCTTCCATCTATTAATTCACTCTCCAAATGTCTGCATCAGCCAGGGCTGGGCCAGACTGAAGCCAGGACCAGGGAACTCCCCTCAGGTCTCTCTCGTAGGTGGCAGGGTCCCAAATACTTAGGTTATCATCCATGCCTTCTCAGGCACACTGGGAAACAGGAAGCTGGATTGGAAGCAGAGCAGTCAGGACTCAGCTGGCATTCCAAAATGGGATGTTGATGTCATAAGCAGTAGCTTAAGCTGTACAACAATATATTGTAGAATACATTGTACTTTTGAAAGCTTTTGAAAAGAGAGTGGATATTAAGTGTTCTCACCATAAGATGATGACTATGTGAGGTAATGCATATATTCATTATCTATATTTAGTCATTACACAATGCGTATATATTTCAAAACATCATGTTGTATGTGAAAATATGTGTAATTTTATCTCAATGAAAAAAGAATCTTTTAAAAAAGAAAAAAGCAGGATTTCTTATACTTTAGTTCTGAGAATATATTTTTTAAATTGATAGTTTTGAATTAATTTTTTTGACAGGCAGAGTGGATAGTGAGAGAGAGAGACAGAGAGAAAGGTCTTGCTTTTGCCGTTGGTTCACCCTCCAACGGCCGCCACGGCTGATGCGCTGCGGCCAGCGCACCACGCAGGAGCCAGGTGCTTCTCCTAGTCTCCCATGGGGTGCAGGGCCCAAGCACTTGGGCCATCCTCCACTGCACTCCCGGGCCACAGCAGAGAGCTGGCCTGGAAGAGGGGCAACTGGGAAAGAATGCAGCACCCCGACCGGGACTAGAACCCCGTGTGCAGGCGCCGCTAGGTGGAGGATTAGCCTATTGAGCCGCGGCACCGGCCTGAATTAATTATTTAGAAACTGATTGTATTAAGAGTTCCTAAGATGTCAGAAACTTATGCATAAATTATAAATCACTAGAGAAACATATCCCTTTTTTAAAAAACCAAAACTATAAATGACTAATGTACTTATTTTAGAATTAATTCCACTTATGGCAGTATCCAATCCAGAGGAAAGCCCTACTTCAAACTCCCCCAAATAATCTAACACAAGACCAGATACCACATGTTCTTTCAAAGAGCCTCTTAATGAGATGTCCCTTCATTCTCTGTGGTGTACAGCATCCTTTGTTGCATTAAGTCAATAAGTACAACTTAGTTCAATTACAGATGTGTTCTGGATGGTATTTAGCCAGAAGGCATTACACTGGAATTCTACACAGTAATGAAAATGAATGAATTGAGCTAAATACAGCACATTAACCTCATATTGAGCTCTTAATGAGAGAAATAAAGCAGATTCAAATGATTATCTGCTGTATACTTCTTATAAGAGGCAAAACTAAAGAATACACACGTAAGCCGGGTGTTAAGACATCTGATAGAGACTAAGGGATTCATAAACTCCTTCATGTCAGGATATCACTAATATTTTGTATACTTTCCATTTACATTCACTTTTCCCCCCACTGGTGACAAATTTTATAGCATCTAGGATATAACATATCAAACACAAATGGAGAATCAAATGCTTTTGATAATGAACATGAAACAATGTCAGAAGATAAATTCTTTTTTTAAAGATCTATTTATTTATATGAAAGGTAGAGTTACAGAGAGGTAGAGGCAGGGAGAGAAAGGGAGAGATCTTCCACCCGCTCATTCACTCCCCAAATGGCCATAATGGCCAGATCTGGGCTGATCCGAAGCCAGGAGCCAGGAGTTTCTTCTGGGTCTCCCACATGGGTGCAGGGGTCCAAGTACTTGGGCCACCTTCCGCTGCTTTTCCAGGTGCGTTAGCAGGGAGCTGCATCGAAGTGGAGCAGCTAGACTCGAACTGGTGCCAATATGGATGCTGGCACTGCAGACAGCAGCTTTACCGGTTATGCCATATTGCTGGCCCCATTTGAAATAAATTCTTATACTGCCATGAGTAGCTGTATGAATTGGGCAAGTGACTTCATCACTTGGAGTCTTAGTTCCCATATCCGTTTAAAAGGTGGGGGCAGTGAGAAAGATTGAGTCTCACCTTTTGGCGGTAACAAACAATTTACGATCCAATGATCACACAGGTTTCTCCTACATTTCTGTCATGCCATTTTCAATATATAATAATCTTATTTCCCTTAAAATAAAAAAGCCAGAAGCTTATCTTCATTTGATTTATCCTCTATATCATCTGGGAAGCAGGGCAATATAGTGATTTTTGGGGTCAGATAAAATTAAATCGAGTTCCATCTCTAATATTTACTAGGCAGAGGATCTTGCATTGTGACATAAACTCTCCTGCCTCACTTTCTTCATCTTTAGAAAGAGAAAGAATATATATATTTTTATATAAATCACGTAACACGGTGTCAGTGCATAGAAATCATACCTAATGAATATTACAGCCATCATATTCATAAGTGACAAGCCAGCTGCAGTCCTAAGCGTTTTAGGATCCGGGGACAGGGATGGATTTGTGTGCATCAGGTGCCAGTTGGTCTTAGCCCCCTATCACTGTGCCTAGTAGACCTCTGGTTCCTGTAGGATGACACCCCACAGTCCTCTTTCTTTTTCCTATCTTCCATTTCCTCCGTGATCTCCAACCCCCGCCCCCATATATTTGGCTCAAGCTCCAGAAGACACTGCAGGGTCCCTTTGCTTCTTCCTTAGTCTCTGGGCAAACTGTGGAGTGTGCAGATGTAGCTTAAATTCGTCACTGTTTGCCTGTGGCTGCACGGCCCCACTGGCTAGCAGATAAAGATGACTTCAACCTGAGCGAGTAGCCTAATTGGCTTCTTAATTCCCAAGGACATTTTTTTCCTGAAAGGGAATTAGCAGGAGAGTCTGCTGTTGCTTTGGCAACAAACTTTCAACCCTTACCTAACTCTCCGGAATGAGAACATTTCTATTAATACATTGGGTAGACTGGGGAGTTGAGTTGCTCAATACAGTTTCTTCCAAGTGCAAAACAGCTTAGGGGCTCTGCTAGCCGTGGGTGGCGCTGCGGTGGGGGGCTGGTAAAGCCAGGAGCAGCCCCCAAAGGCGGGAGCTGGGTGCGGGAAAGTGAAAGTGTATCCCCAACAGGTGGCTGCGGCTGCACAGAGCGCAGGGGCGCCGCTGAGAACTGATGGCGGCCGCGCGCAGAAAGCCTTGGCGAAGCAGGCAAGTGGAGTCTTTGCTCCTTTTCTTGTGCGTATCTGTGGGGGGCGCGGCAACCATCCGCTATTCAGTGGCGGAGGAGATGGAAAGCGGTTCCTTTGTAGCCAACGTGGCTAAGGACCTGGGGCTGGAGGTAGGGAAACTGGCTGCACGCGGGGCGCGGCTCGTGTCTGAGGGCAACAAGCTGCATTTCCGGCTCCACCGCAAGACCGGGGATTTGTTTGTGAAGGAGAAACTGGATCGGGAGTCACTTTGTGGCAAAGCTGACCCGTGCGTTCTGCACTTTGAAATAGTGCTGGTGGAGCCTCTGCAGTCCTTCCGTGCTGAGGTCAGGGTATTTGATATCAATGACAATGCCCCAGTTTTCCTAAACAAGGAGCCGCTTTTAAAGATTCCGGAGAGCACCCCGCTGGGTTCGCGGTTTCCTCTGCAGAGCGCCCAGGATCTGGACGTGGGTCTCAATGGGCTCCAGAACTACACGCTGAGCGCCAACGCGTATTTCCACCTGCACACTCGCTTCCGCAGCCACGGGCCCAAATATGCCGAGCTGGTGCTGGATAAACCCCTGGACAGAGAGGAGCAGCCTGAAGTCAACTTGACAGTCACCGCGGTGGACGGCGGGTCCCCGCCCAAGTCTGGCACCGCCCACATCCGCGTGCTGGTTCTGGACGTCAACGACCACGTGCCACAGTTCTCCAGGTTGGTGTACCGAGCTCAGGTACCGGAGGACAGCGCCAGGGGCTCTTTGGTGGCCGCTGTGACTGCCACGGACCTAGACGAGGGCACCAACAAGGAGATAACTTACTCCTTAGCCCAAAACCCAGAAGCGATTCTGCAGACGTTTGAGATTGACTCGCAAAGTGGGGAGGTTCGGCTTCGAGGGCCTCTGGATTTCGAAATGATTGAAACCTATGACATCGACGTTCAGGCCACCGACGGGGGAGGCCTCTCTGCCCACAGCAAAGTGCTGGTGGAAGTGGTGGACGTGAACGACAACCCTCCTGAAGTGATGATCGCCTCTGTGTCCAGCCCTCTCCCTGAGGACTCGCCACTGCAGACTGTGGTGGCCCTTTTCACTGTCCGAGACCGGGATGTTCGAGTGGGAGGAAAAATCACCTGCTTCCTCAGAGAAGACCTTCCCTTTGCAGTCCGACCTACATTCCGCAATTCCTACTCGCTGGTCACCGCCAGAGGCTTGGATCGGGAGGAGGTCCCCAGCTATAATATCACCCTTGTCGCCGTGGACACTGGGCCACCCAGCCTCTCCACGGAGACTGTGATAGAGGTGCTAATAGCAGACATCAATGACAATCCCCCAGTGTTTCAGGAGGATTCCTATATCTTGACTGTTCGAGAAAACAACAGCCCTGCGATTTTCATTGGCAAAGTCCATGCTGAGGACCTGGATGTGGGTGAAAATGCCCAAGTTACATATTCTCTGCTGCCTCCAAAAAGTGGAGATCTATCCGTCTTTGCCTACATCTCTATAAACTCAGACAATGGGAAGCTCTATGCACTTAGAACCATGGATTATGAGGCTATTCAAGATTTTCAGTTTGTAGTAAAGGCAACTGATGGGGGCTTCCTGTCACTGAGTAGCCAAGTGACTGTCAGAGTGGTTGTCCAGGATGACAACGACAATCGCCCGATGATCTTGTACCCACTACAGAATGGCACCTTTCCCTGCAATGACCTGGTGCCCAGGTCTGCAGAGGCCGGCTACTTGGTAACCAAAGTGGTGGCTGTGGATGGTGACTCAGGTCAAAATTCTTGGCTTTCATATCATCTACTTAAAGCCACTGATCTTGGGTTATTCTCTGTTCAACGACAAAATGGGGAAATCCGTACACTGAGGCAGATAGCTGAGAGAGACCCCATGATGCAGAAACTGACCATTCTCGTTCAGGATCATGGCCAACCAGCTCTCTCCACTACTGCCTCACTCAACATCCTGCTGGTAGATGGCTTTTCAGAGCCCTACCTGCAGTTCCAGGATCCATCAAAACATTCCAGAAAGGTAAATCCATCCACTAAATATTTGGTTATTTCTCTGGCTGCACTTTGCTTTCTCTTTCTCCTCTCTGTCACAGTGATCTTCATTGTACACATCTGTGAGAAGATTAAACACAGAGAAAAGTTTACAATTCAAGAACATTTTTATGATGATTGTAATTTCCCTAACAACCTAGTACAAGGAGGTGGCAATGGATCCTTATCCCAACCTTGTCCATATGACATGTGCTCAGCCACTGGCACTGGCAACAGTGAATTCAGGTTTCTTAAGCGCTTTATGCCCAACTTCCCTTTCCCCCATGCTGCTGGAGAGGTAAAAACAGGGACGGGCTCCACTTCACCTCCAGATTCTAGTAGAAACAGATCCCAGGGGTCAGAAAGCCATGCCCAGGTACCTGATGACTATATGTAGCTCACTTCAACAGACCTTCAGGGAAAGAAGAGAAATACAGTTTTATACCTGGTGTGCAAAGATCTCCCATCCTCATTAAAATCAAAATTATAGTAGATGGCAACGTTAGTCAAAGAGTGGCTTGGTGAAAATGGGAAATCAAGATTGAAGCTTGGCGTACTTAGTACAAAACAGTGGCCCTGCTCCCCAGATCATATATCTGTAACCCCTTCTGCATTTGGAATTCTGATTAAAGAAATGTTGCCATCTTCAAGGGGTCTTCAAAATATTCATGGAAAATGTGCAATCTCTTTTAATTCTATTTTCTTGAACATTTTGAAGTCCATCTATTTAATGCATATGGAACTTCTGCTTTTCCATCTCATCTGTGATAGGTAATGAATGAATGAGTCATTCTCATTTCTTCTGCATGTCATTGGTCCTAGAACAGGAAATGTTTGGTTTTGTAGAGATATGCTGTAACTTTTTACCTTTAAGTCATTTCCCAGTAGAAATTGTACATGCTCACGCTGGCACCGCGGCTCACTAGGCTAATCCTCCGCCTTGCGGCGCCGGCACACCAGGTTCTAGTCCCGGTCGGGGCGCCGGATTCTGTCCCGGTTGCCCCTCTTCCAGGCCAGCTCTCTGCAGTGGCCAGGGAGTGCAGCGGAGGATGGCCCAAGTACTTGGGCCCTGCACCCCATGGGAGACTGTGAGGAAGCACCTGGCTCCTGGCTCCTGCCATCGGATCAGCGCGGTGCGCCGGCCGCAGCGCGCCAGCCGCGGTGGCCATTGGAGGGTGAACCAACGGCAAAAAGGAAGACCTTTCTCTCTGTCTCTCTCTCTCTCACTGTCCACTCTGCCTGTCAAAAAAAAAAAAAAATTGTACATGCTCAGAGAAGAGAACTAGCTTTCAGCTCTGATATATCAGAAAGCTATTAGGTTTGACAAGCAAAGACATAATTTAATATTCTGAAATTTCTAGATTTTTGTCCCTGATGAGTAGAGGTTATCTTTGAGTCAGCACCTTGCATACAATCATGTATAATCATAGAAATACCTAATGAATGTTGATGCTCACAGGTAAATATGGAGTGAGGAATGATAAAGAAAAACTCAATTTTACTTATTTGCAAATGTAAGGGGATATGAAGCTCAGGAGATAAAATTCAGGAATATTCTCCAGAATTAAATTGGATGTAGACTTATTAATGTCATTTGATGCTTTAGGCCAGTCTTACTGCAGCCGGCGCATTGCGCTGATCCAAAGCCAGGAGCCAGGTGCTTCTCCCGGTCTCCCATGCGGGTGCAGGGCCCAAGCACTTGGACCATCCTCCACTGCAGAGGGCCACAGCAGAGAGCTGGCTTGGAAGAGGGGCAACCGGGACAGAATCCAGCGCTCCAACCGGGACTAGAACCCGGTGTGCCAGCGCCGCAAGGCAGAGGATTAGCCTATTGAGCCGTTGCGCCGGCCAGGCCAGTCTCAAATTTCTCTTTCATATCTAGATGATTGCCTTACCAATTATTTGAAAATCAAAAATGAAGGGTAGATGAGAATAAACATAATTTAGGCCTGCTATAGCAATATGTGCTACAGAACACTTATTCTGTTTTGTAATTTGTAGCACAACTACCAAAAAACCATTAAAGGAAAAAAAATTAACTGATACCAATTACATGGACTTAAATTATACTTTCAGGGAGTTCCATATTTGATGGTAAACCATTTTCCTCTCTGGGCATACTAAAGTAATGAGAAAAAAACTGATAAAAAAGAAATATTTCTAATAAGTCATAAGACAAAGTAGAGTAGGAAATCAATTAGGTATTTTGAAAAGCTTTATTATTTAGTTAGTTTTAAAAGTAGAAAGAGAGACAGAGATCTCCCATCCATTGGTTCACTCCCCAATTCCCTGACTTGACCAGAACCATGAGGCAAGAGTTCATTCTCAGTCCCACAGGTAGGTGACAGGGACTTAATCAATTGAACCATCATCTGCCTCAAGGGTACATGGTAGTTGGAAGCTGGAACCCAGGCATGCTGATATGGGATGTGCCCTTCAGCTAGCTTTCCTTAATGTGAACATTTGATACAACCACTGTACAATTGTCAAAGTTAAGAAATTAACTTTGGTACAATTCTATGAACTAAACTACAGACTTTCAGATTTCACTAGTTTTTTTCCTAATGTCTTTTTTTCTATGTTCAAGGACCCATTATAAAATCCTAAAGTGCATTTTGTTGTTATGTCTCTTTATTCTCTACAACCTGTGGTAGTTCCTTAGCTGTTTCTAGTTTTTCATGGGCTTGAGACTTTTGAAGAGTACTGGTCAATTATAAAATGTCCTTTAGTATAGAACTGCTATTGTTTTATCACTATTAGATTGAGTTTATGCTTTATTGGGAAGAATACCACAGAAATATTATGTCCTTCTTTGTATATGATATCAGTAGGGATGTGGTGTCAGTGTGTCCTTACCCTGGTGATGATCATTTTTTTGTTAAAAAAAGCGCATAGTGTAAAATTTGCCACATCAACCATTTTTAAGTGTGCATAGTTCAGTACTGTTAGAGTGATAGTAATCTTGGTTAAGAGAATGTCTACCAACTTTCTGCCCAGTAAAGTTATCATTTTTCTCTTTGTAATCAATAAATAGCTGGGGGAAGATACTTAGAAACTAGGCAAACGTCATGTTTCTTCTTAAACTAATGTTTGTATCCATTGCTGGATATCTCCTGTGGCAACTGATACTATAGCATCCTAATGATAATTTTCTGTTTCCCTGATTCCTTTTTTACAATTAATTGGTTAAAGCTCTTTTGTAAGGAAAACTTGCCATGATTCCTCCATGTATTTATCTACTTACTTCTTTATATGTAGACTCATGGGTATTTACTTTAGTATTTGCATTATAACCTAATGCTATTATTATTTATTTTGTTATTCAGCAAACCCTTTTAGCTAAGATGAAGAGCAGATTTTAAAGACTTGAATTATCAAAATATAATACATTTTCATCAAATTTAGGATTGCTTTGTTTAACCTGGTATGTTAGATTATGTTAAGAATATAAATATAAATCTATAAATTTCTTTAATATTTTTAAAGTTCCTTCATAATTGCGCTTTAACTTTAAATGAAAATTACACTAACAGAATTTAAAATTTTAACTACAGTTATATAATTATTAAATATATTATACTATAAAATTTTAAATTTATTATACAGACATGTTTATATATTTATAATAGAGTGTTACTTAAAAGTAGAATTATATGCTGAAATTAGACATATAGATATACAAGTAATGAAATTGCTATGTCTGATTTTATGTAATTTTCCTAAACATAAATAAATGCATTACTTTATTTATCATGTCTGTGTATTTTTTGTTTCTGATTTAAAGATGAATTTATCTCATTGCTAGAAGCAGAATTCATCTACATAATTCTCCCATACAAATGTCTATTTTCTGTAGAGTTCAGTGTCACTAGCTGGACACCCATTCTTCAACTACAAGTTTGACTTAATATCTAAATCTATGTAATACTTTTTAATAATATTGTTATAGTTTTGATTGAGTTTCTATAACATTGAGGCAGAATATTAAAAGGTGAAAATAATTTTTTCTGGTCAAATTGGTGAAGTAAGTTTATACTTCTGTATACCATGCTCTGTTCTAAACACAGAAATGAAAGGTAAAAATTAAAAATAGAAAATTAAATGACACAAAAACAGAAATTTAATAGAGACATAAAGTAGAAAGCTGAGATGAAAGCCCTGGACTTCTGAGCCATGGGATGGGAAGATGGCATTGGCTGCAGTTAGTCTGGCTCTCCCTGGAAATCAGGAACAAAACATTCTCTAGGAAAGAAGAAGAAAAACCAACGTCACTACTTAAAACAAAGAAGTTAGGATGAGTCTGTCATGTTCATAAGGGGTGATCGAAAACCCACTGCCAAAAGATTCCTGAAGCTGGGGTGGGCGTCATTGTGCAGTGGGTTACGCTGAGGCTTGGGACACCCACATCCCATATTGGTGTGCCAGCAGCAGTCCTGGCTACTCCAGTTCCAAGTCAGCTCCCTGTTAAGTGCACCTGGGAATTGGCAGACAGTGGCTCAAGTACCTGAATCTTTGCCACCCACATGGGAGACCTCAGCAGAGTTCCTCGCTCCTGGCTTCGGCTAGGTCCAGCCCCAGCTGTTGTGGCCATTCAGGGAGTGAACCAGCAGATAGATACAGATTTCTCTCTCTCTTTCCCTTTCCCCTTCTCTTCTTTCCTCTCACTCTCCCTCCCTGACCCTCCTCTGTCACTCTGCCTTTCAAATCAATATTTTTTTAAATTCTGGAAGCTAAACCTTACAGTGTGTTGCAGGCTTACAAAGGCTAGAAGTCTAAGTAATATGTACTATTCTGGTATCATGTTGTGCCAAAATCACTACTGTAAAACCTGATTATAGGCTGTCCAATGGAGAGGAAGAAAAGACAATGTTTTTAAAAGTATCAATAAAATAAAACTGTTTAGGATGCTCGCAGAGATGAACTAAGGAATTGCACATACAGAAAGGACAATAAGGGCTAGCACTGTGGTGCAGTGGGTTGAGCCTCCACCTGTGATGCCAGCCTCCTATTTGGATGCTGGTTTGAGACCATACTGCTCCATTTTTGATCCAGCTCCTTGCTAATGCACCTGGGACAGCAGCAGAAGATGGCCCAAGTGCTTGGGCTCCTGCATGCATGTGGGAGACCTAGAAGAAGTTCTGGGCTCCTGGCTTCAGCCTGGCCCAGCCTCAGCTGTTGTGGCCATCTGGGGAGTAAACCAGTGTCTCTCTCCTCCTCTCTGTAATTTTGCCTTTCAAATAAATAAATAAATAAATCTAAAAAAATAAAATAAAGGACAGTAAGTTATAAGAGAAGCAAAAATTAAGACTAAAATAAAACAGCTAAGAATATATTCAACTGGAAATTAAACTTTTTTAAATATTTGGGGGAGGGGAAAGCTCCCATCCTCTGGTTTGTCCTCAATGGCCAGGAAGCAGAAGCTGGGAGCCAAAAATTCAATCCTGGTCTCCCATGTGATTGGCAGGAATCCAACTACTTGATTCGTCATCACTGCCTTCAGGATGTATGTGAGCAGGATGCTGGAATGAGGAGCCAGAGCTGAATGTTGAATGCAGGCACTCCAATATGGCACATGGTTGTCCTAACCAGTATCTTAACTGCTAGGCCAAACGCCCCCTCCCTGACAACCAGAAATTTTAGAAATGAAACATAGTAATTGTAATAAAACATCAATAGATGGCACAAAATTTAGTCTGGAAGGTATTAATGAGCAAATTAGTAAATTGGCATATAACTAAGGAATTCATCAATAACAGAACCAAAAGATTAAAATTATGAAAGAGTAATTAATAAATGCTGTAGTTATCTATTGTTATGTCATAACTCAACCCAAAACTTAGAAGCTTAAAAATCCAAATTTATGGTGATCTTGAACTCCATGGGTCAGGGATCTGGACAAAGCACAATGGGGATGGGCTGTCTCTGTCCATGATGACTGAGGCCTCAGCTAAAAAAGGCTGAGGGTAACATGTAGCTATGGGATAGTATCATCTGGAAGTGACTTTCCTTATATGTTAGATTCTGGCCAGTAACCAAAAATGCTTGTATGTTTCCAGTCTATGTAGCCTGGCCTGCTTTACAACATGGTGCCTAGGTGCCAAGAGCAAGTATCATGTTCACCATTCTTTTTATTGGTCTGGTAGTCATAGGGATCAGATTCAAGAGAAGGGACATATATCTCACTTCTTTTTTTTTTAAAAAAAGATGTATTTACCTATTTTGAAAGTCAGAGTTAGAGATACAGAAAGAGGTCTTTCATCCACTGGCTCACTCCCCAGATGGTTGCAATGCCCAGCACTGGGCCAAGCCAAAGCTGGGAGCTTCATCTGGGTCTCCCACATGGGTGGCAGGGGCCCAAACACCTGCACCATCTTCTGTTGCTTTCCCAGGCACATTAGCTGGGGGCTAGATTGGGAGTAGCCAGGATACACCAGTTCCCATATGGGATGCCAAGTTTGCAAGTGGCAGCTTCACTTGCTATACCATAACATCAATCCCTAGATCCTACTGCTTGAATAGAAGATAATTTCTTTTTACTGATGAATATCCCATTGTGTAGATACACCACAATTTGTCTATTCAAACATTAATGAATACCTTGATCAGTCCCAGTTTTTAGTAATTAAGAATAAAACTTCTATAACTATTCATGTGTACTATAGATACCTTTTATTTCTTTCTCTCTCTCTCTCTCGCTTGCTCTCTTGACAGGAAGAGTTAGACAGTGGGAGAGAGAGAGAGACAGAGAGAAAGGTCTTCCTTCCATTGGTTCACCCCCCAAATGGCCACTACAGCCGGCGTGCTGCGCTGATCCAAAGCCAGGAGCTAGGAGCCAGACGCCTCCTCCTGGTCTCTAATGCGGATGCAGAGCCCAAGCACTTGAGCCACTGCCTTCCCGGGCCACAGCAGAGAGCAGGACTGGAAGAGGAGCAACCAGGACAGAATCCAGCGCCCCAAGCGGGACTAGAACCCAGTGTGCTGGTGCCGCAGGTGGAGGATTAGCCTAGTGAGCCATGGCGCCGGCCATTTCCTTCTCTTTTCATAATGTTTTATCTAGGACTTCCAGAACAACGTTAAATAGGAATAGTGAGAGAGGACATGCTTGCCTTGCTCCCAGTGTTAGGGAAAATTGTCCAGTTTTTCACATGTATGGTGTTTGCTGTAGTTCTCTGTAGGTGTTTTGTATCAAATTGAGGTTGATGGGGCCAGCACTGTGGCATAGTGGGTAAAGCCAACGCCTGTAGTGCTGGCATTCCATATGGGTGCCAGTTTGAGTCTCGGCTGTTTCACTTCTGATCCAGCTCCCTGCTGTGACCTGGGAAAGCAGTAGAATATGGCCCAAGTGCTTGGGCCCCTGCACACATGTGGGAGAACCAGAAGAAGCTCCTGGCTCCTGGCTTCAGATCGGCACAGCTCTGACTGTTGTGGCTATTTGGGGAGTGTCCCAGCAGATGAAATCTCTCTCTCTCTCTGTCTCTCTCTCTCTCTCTCTGCCTCTGCCTCTCTGTAACTCTGCCTTACAAATAAAATAATTAATTTAAAAAATTGAGGTTGTTTTCCTATGTTGAGAATGTAAAAACTATATATTTATGTATTTAAGAGAGAGAGCAGGCTGGCGCCGTGGCTCAATAGGCTAATCCTCTGCCTTGCGGCACTGGCACACCGGGTTCTAGTCCTGGTCGGGGCACCGGATTCTGTCCTGGTTGCCCCTCTTCCAGGCCAGCTCTCTGCTGTGGCCTGGGAGTGCAGTAGAGGATGGCCCAAGTGCTTGGGCCCTGCACCCCATGGGAGACCAGGAGAAGCACCTGGCTCCTGCCATCGGATCAGCGCGCTGCGCCGGCCACAGCGCGCCAGCCGTGGCGGCCATTGGAGGGTGAACCAACAGCAAAAGGAAAACCTTTCTCTGTCTCTCTCTCTCTCTCTCTCTCTCACTACCCACTCTGCCTGTAAAAAGAGAGAGAGAGAGAGAGAGAGAGAGAGAGAAAACAAGAAACCACTCCCATCTGCTGATTGGCTTCTCAAATGTCTAGCTAGGCCAAGGCTGAAGCCAGCAACTGGGAATACAGTCCAGATCTCCCTTGTGTATGGCAGGAACCCAATCAGTGAAGCCATCAGGGTTTTGTCCCAGGGTCTGTGTTGGCAGGAAGCTGGAGTCAGGAGCCAGAGCATGGAAATGAACCCAGGTACTCCAGTGTGTGATGTGGTTAAATGCCAGCTTCCTGTTGAGAGGTTTTTTTGGATTTTTTTTTGTTTGCTTTTTTTTTTAATTCACAGATATATTTAGGATTGTCTTCACCAGTTCATATACTCATTTTATTTTCTTCCTTATTCTGCTAATCTGTACCACACTGATTGCTTCTCAAGTGTTGACCCAACCTTGCACACCTGGAATAAATCCCACTGGTTTGTTATGAA